AAGCTTAAATTCCTGTATCAATGTGTACAAATATGGGACCTGTTTAAAGATCAGAGTTACTGGGATATATTGATTCTTTCTCTCTGATTTTGACCAGAATCCCACTTCTGATCCGCAAAGCATATTGTAAAAAATAACCGCACATGACATGTTTCTGCAAGGAGTTTTCATTTTGAGAGAAAATTCCAGACTAGCTTTACATGAGGACTACACACTCACATGGACCAAAGATGTTGATTCTGATGAATTGCTGCTTTCAGCTGTAGAATTTAATTATTCTCATTCTGTACAGCTGGCGTTATTGTGTGGTGATGTGTTTGTCTTCTGACACCTCCGGAGGGGGGGATGAAATGAATTGTCTACATTTAGAGTGCCAAAGGGATGGTTTGAGTAAGAAATGCTGCAATGAGACCTGCGTGACTATGTCCTCTGGCACAAATGATGAATCCAGGTTCTTTACATCTTGTTTTCTAGCAGCACTTAAAGACTGGAAGCGTTTCTTTAAAAATGTTATAGGAAAATTACACTAAAATTAAGCCTATTTTGGCAGACGAAGGAAATTAACTCGTTTTGTATTGGCTGATTTCTAGCCTGTATTCCTGAAGCCTTTCCTTCCGCTTTTACAGGCCGATAGGGTCACTAATCCTACTCATTTTCAGTTTGTCAGTCAATAATCACTTACACGGCACTATGTCTTTGGAAATGACAGCTGAGACAAGATCTGATGCACAGTCTTCCTTCCACAATGCCTTCCTAAATACCAGTCTGAGGCAGCTGAAAGGACCGAATACTCTATATCTGATAATGACACGTGCACCCAGCTTGTCATAAAGCAGGTTTGGGGGAAGTTCACAGCACTGCTATGTGGGAAATGTCTCTACTCCGATGGCGTAATGAAGTTGTACAAAGCAGAACAGTCCCTGCCATTGGACATTAATGAGAGTCAACATTTTTTTCACTCTAAGGCATTTCAGTTGTATCACAAGCAGAGCCCATCTGGCTTCAGAATGAATATTCAGTATCAGTAGCAGGAACAGAAATTGTGAGAGGGAAATGGTACCTTCCTGGCTTCCAGCTTGGACAGTACCCGTCACTAGAACTGGTGTGTTGCACAGTTGGCTAAATTGCAATTTGATGCCCAACCAATGTCTTTTTAGGCTATTATTATCTTGTTAATTAGTTATTGTTTACTAATTTGGACTTTATGTCTTCAAAAAGAAGAACACTTTATGTTAAAAACTCCTAAGGGATAACATATTTCACCACACTGCAGAGAACTGTGACAGCTCGCCAGCTTCTATTTACTGAGAAGTCATAGTGGTAGAAATCAATTTATTATTTTGAGGAATAAACATAATTTCTCTCCTCTGTGTGACAGGTGCAATTCCTGTTTATTAAAAATTTAGAGAAACATTTGCAAAATGGAAATTTAAAGAACAAGTGTCACAGTAGAGAATAACTTTCTTGAGAAAGAATAGAGCTGGGAAAGAATGAAACCGTCACTGCTAAAGGGCAGGCATTCATTTCACAATTTTTATGACTGTCACTGGCTCCTTTAGCTTGGCCTATCTTACTTCTGCAGAGATGCCTCTCACTGCAGCTTGTTGGGGAAAAAGAAACTCAAACTGATATGGCAGAGATTTTTACTGAGCTACATATGAAAACCAGAAGACAATGTTTCACAGTTCTGAGAAACTCAAGCTGTTAATACTTTGAGTAAATTAAATGTATGTATCATGGCCTATTTACAAGACTGTAGGTTTATTTGCTTAAGTACCTAAACATCTTGAGGCGGCTCTGAGGTAGATGTCGAACCAACAGCCTTGTCTGCCACGCTGAGCCGCCTCAAATTTGAGCAGCCCAGCGAGAGCAGGGGCCAGGCTGCAACCCCTAGGAAGTATTTGACTTGAACGCAACTGGTGGAAATGCATTTAAAGGTAGTGGAGGCTCTGCCACAACATTTTGGAATTAAATCAAACAACATGTTGCCTCTCTCCTTAGGGAATGCGATGTGATAAATCTGTGATGCATTTCCTCACCAGAGGTATCTGGGCTGTGTTGGCTCTGACGAGCGCCAGGTTGCAGTGGGTGAAGCAATTTCCTGCATGCGTTTAGACGCCGCCCCGGAATACTTCAGGGTGATGAAAGTTAGTTGAGCCAATATGATTAGAGAGCTATCACTTCATTTTCACTGTATTACTGCCATAATCCTAGAAGGAAGATTCATATATGTGCACTTGGGAATGAAATTCCAGGGGAGAAGAAATCCGTAATACCAACTATCAGTTAATATTATCAGACAACTGAGTTTTCTCGTAGTTGCTTTCTTACTTTTCTCAGGGGAAAGTTACCCGAGTGCATGACACCAACACAAGACCCACCCAGGCCTGAATGCTGGATACTACGGCACTCGGTACAGTGCTACTGGAATCACCAGGCAGGCTTTCAACGTGAGCTTGCCGTGGAGCTAAACATCACCTTGTGATGCAGCTCTGCTGGAGCTGAACAGGGCGTAGCTACGTGATGAAGTGCTCCTGAATGTGAGAATGGAAGGCAAAGTCAATCCCGAATACATAAACATATCTTAAGCAACAAGCAAAGAGTAGAAGTCAGAGGCGTAACTCAGAAGTCGCAAAGAAGAGTGATAGTAAGAGTCTCCCTCTCCTTTGGTTTATAGGAAAACATGTTGAGTGTTTTATAAAAATGTGAGAATCTCAATCTCGGTAACCGAAGCATTCAGTTATCCAAACCTGAAGTTATTCTGACTCAAGCAGCAATTGAAGCATTTGCTTTTCAGGCAGCACACCCATCACACTTCCATGCAAGTCAGTAGGTCTGTCTGTCACCTGTCGCAAGGCAGAATTCCTCTACAGCTGTTGTCTCATCCAAAGAATAGGAAGTGATCAGGAGCTATCGGCGGCTTTATTATTAGAGCTGTAAGTATCAGACTCCCTCGTGATAAATCCAAACTCATTTTGTGTGTGTTCAGTGACATCCCATTCTGTGTCTAAACGTGGTCAGTATAATACAAAAACGTCTCGCTGGGCACACGCATAAAGCTGAATGGAATTGAGTACTGTAAACAACAAGAGACTCATTCTCACTCTCAGACATGGAAATTTTGTCAGAATTTTGTGGCTCTAGAGGAAATGCTGAGCACAACCTAAACATCTGCATGAAACTGTTATGTTAGCAAGATGAACTAAGTCCAGCTGCTGGAGAGCAGCTCTGCGGAGAGAGACCTGGGTGTCCTGGTGGACGACAGGTTAACCATGAGCCAGCAGTGTGCCCTGGCTGCCAAGAA